AAAACTTGTATACATTCCAGTTGTATATTGTGATGTTGGCATGTATATACATTGCAAAGTTATAACCACAACCCTGATTGCTAATTTATTCCTTACCTCACAAAGCAGCCATATTCTAGACCAGTATGGTGAGAATGAGAAATCTGCTCCTGGGTGCATAGCCTGAACGGAGCATCCCCTGTGATGGGATTGGTGACTACCTTAATCGGCACCAGAGAGCCTTCATCCAGTGACTGATGGAGACAGATTTGAAGACCCATGACCAAACATTTGGACCAATCACAGGGAGTCTTGATGAGGAGAGGAAGGAGGGATTGTAGGAACCAGAGGGTCAGGGACATTGGAGGAAAACCCACAGAAACCCCTGACTGTCTCATGGGAACTGGCAGAGTCTGATCCAACATCCAGGAAGCTTGCATGGTACTAACCTAGGGCCTCTGCATATTTGTGACAGTTGTGCATCTTGGTTTGTTTGTGAGACTCCTGGCGATGGGAATAGGGCTGACCTTTGTGTTTTGGCTGGCTCTTGGGTACCTATTCCTCATGATGGACTGCCTTGCCCAGTATGAATACAGGGGGAAGTGAACCATTCTTTGCTGATGTCCATGGGAGGCCTGCCACTTTCTGAGAAAATATGGAAGAGGGGTGAATTTGGGGGAAGGAGCAGAGATGGGGAGAGGAAGTGGGATGAGAGGTGGGAGGGGAGGCTCTGGTCAGGATGTAAACTTAATTAATAAAAAAGAACTATCTGCTCTCCCATCAAAGGTCAAGTATATAACCCAGTATTAGTTACGGCACTATATGTTAGAATTATGAGATGCATTTAATATACACATGGAGCATTAAGAGAGAACAAGAAGAAACACTAAAGATGTTTGAATAAAAATAGGAAGCAGGATGCTAATGCTCCTCCCAAGAGCCAGAAACCATCTAACAAAACCACATTGGCAAGCATGGGGAACAGTGCTTCAATGTGTGGGGCAGTAGCAACCATTGCCATTGCCTTAGATGCCTCCCAGAACTTGGAGATAAGACCCCATGGCTTATTTCATCACTCTAAAAATCCTGTTATTGTCTTAGTTCTCATAGGAGTTTTCATATATTTGTAAAATGATACATTTTCATGTATTCTTGATAAAGTGTTAACACATTTTATAGCTTGTGAGAAATCTTATGTCCATATGGTATTAATGAAAAATAAAGAAAATGAAAGTGTGGTCAAAAAAAGGTGTATATGTGTGTGTGTGGGGGGGGGCTATTGCTGAATTGCTGCACAATTCAGACACAGGACTTGGAAGAATGGAACTTGAACTGACATAGAAGCCTCTTCTTTGAACACTAGTTCCTGAAGGTGCAAGCTGAAAATGAGAAAATAAACCAACAGTCCTATAGCTAGAAGGCCTGTCAATCATAAAAATGACCAGTATGGTCGAGCTATCATTAATTATGCAATAGTGGCAGTTTTATCTTAGGAATAATCAATACTTGTGCAACTGGACTGAAGACCTGCTCAATAGTGGGGGTATTCCTGCTTGGTACTATAAACCTAACCAGTCAGCCCTGACTGGAGAGGTCATAAACCCTAGAGAAGAACCTACTATTTCCATTTTCCTAAGACAACCTAGTCTCTAACTATATTCTAAATGCTTATCCTTATATCCACATGTAAATGTAGCTCTCAACCCTTATCAAAGAAACATCTTCTGGAGTGGATGGAGGCTAATCCAGAGATCCACAACTGCAGAGAGTAAGTGATGGTGGAGTGCCCACCTCCAAAAGGTACATCTCCAAAGCAACCCCTACCGCTGAGCTCAAAGAACAAGGAAGAGGAGGAAGAAACAATATAAGAGCTGAAGGGCCAGGACACCAGCTATAAAAGTGTCCTCTAGATGCAACAGGGAAGATGCACACATTCAATCTCTTGCCTAAAAAAGACTAGCATAATGACCATTCCAGTCCATATGACATGACAGATATGGGAAAATTCACAAGGACCCATTAAATAATGACCTATAGACAATCAGTGGCTAGAGAGAGAGAGAGAGAGAGAGAGAGAGAGAGAGAGAGAGAGAGAGAGAGAGAGAGAGAGAGAGAGAGAGAGAGAGAGAGAGAGAGAGAGAGAGAGAGAGAGAGAGAGATTTAGTTTTCTTCATGGATGAGCTCTAATCCCAGACTTAAACATATCTGTATGAATAGCATGACCCCAGTGCTCTCTCTCTCTCTCTCTCTCTCTCTCTCTGTCTCTCTGTCTCTGTCTCTGTCTGTCTCTCTCTCTCTGTCTCTCTCTCTCTTGTGTGTGTGTGTGTGTGTGTGTGTGTGTGTGTGTGTGTGTGTGTAACAGTGTAACAGTGATTATAGAAGAACAGGTAAAGAATTTGAGAGAGTGGGGTACTTGGGAAGTGTTGGATGAGTAAAGGTAGGGTAAAAATTATGTAAATGAGATATACACAAGTATGCAAATACAAAAATTAACAAATCTTAATTTTAAAAAGGGAAGATACTTAAAGGTATTATAGTCATATGCTATTTCCTGTCTGCCCCAGGAGAAGAGCAGTAAAGAGTAGAAAGAGAGAGCATAAGTGGGTTGGGCCTTTCTTTTAAAGGGGTCATTTGCACCTGTGTGCAGACTATGCAATAATGGAACCCTGGGCTGACCAGAGTACTGCCTAAGTGCATTCTGCCAGGTGACAGGGGCAGGCCAGCACAATGCCTGAATCCTTAAAGAAAGAGGCTGGATTGTTTCTGACAGTATTCATTGGCATTTGAATGTGATTTGGACCTTGTTTCAGGTCTGCTGCCTGACTTTGTTTATTTGTAGAAAGGAAATGATTACCACATAGCTATATTGTGAGGCAGAATAGGTGGGAAGTGCTCACTCAGTGTTAGCAATTAGGAGGTTTGGTTACAGAAGTGGCTGTTTCTGGTTGACCCGGGCTTGAAACATCTAAGCATTTGATAACAGCTCTGCACATAGTTTGCTTATCTTGGAGGTGTCTATCAATCAAAGACTTCCTGGGAAGATAATTTCCCCACTCTTCCATTGCTCCCTTTTAACTTTTAGTGGCAGATGCCTGCCAGAGGGTGACTGTGTTGCATCGGCTAAATGTAAGTAGCATTTGTACATTTCTTTCTTTATTATTAAAACTCGTCTTTCTGGTGTCTGACGCATTAATGTGATATATTCAGTTTCTTGCTAGTGGCTTTAGTCTCAGGACCCCGGAAAAGGTAGGGAGTGGTCCTTTATTCCAGATTGCTCCACCTTTCCCAAACAGGTTTGGGAAAACAAAGAATGAGGTGTAAGGGTGAAGCACAGTTCACCATGACAATGACAACAATTAGAAATTCTCATTAGATGGAATGAAAGTTTAGGAGATTTAACATTCTCTGGAACTTGAGTCACCCAACATCTATGTGAAGTTCATAAGGTAAATATGACTATGCTCATTTTTCTACTAAAGTCACTGTGGCTTCAAATTCCTGCTTACAAGTTACAACAGTAATAATAGTTCAGATGACTTAAATTTCATGTCTTTATTTATTTACATTTTTCTTATATGGTTGTAATGTAGGATTACCATATCAGTGACCATGAGAGAAAATTAGAAAAATAGAATTTGAGATTAAGTTATTACAAGAAATAAATTGACTATTTTTTCAATATCCATTAGGTCTTGAAGAACCAGAAAACTTATCAATGTAGTGCATGGCTATAATTAAGGATACCTGTGTTAGGTGAATATACCTTTACAACCAAGGCTGTAGTGTGGAATTGGCCAGGAGACACTGTGAGAGATGCACATCTGGGCCACATGACAGTAAGGACACTGTCTGGAAAGTGACTTTTTGGATACTCAAAAGAAGTAGAAGCCAGGGAATGATTAAGTAAGCTAGCTAAGAGGGGATATTATTCTACTTGCAAACAGAATACAACAACCTAGTAAGTTTATTCATAAAACTTTCATACAAGTGGGAAATGATGATATATTGACATTTTTATATAATTTAAACTAGTATATTGGGGGAACTAAAAAAACTGTAAATGGATTCTTGAGAATGAATGATGATTATAGGTTTGATATGTGGAAGTCAAAAGACCTGAGAGGTCATCACTTTATCTCTTTCACTTAGTAGACCATAAAAGCACAGAAAATGAGAATTGGAAATTAAAGAAAACTAAAGATCTGGCTGAGTTATTATGGAAAGGAACAAAAGGGAAGTACAGACATCAGAAGCACTGGGCTTGGTTGGCTAGGAACATCCTTCACATTTATTTGTAAGGTAGTCTGTAAGGCATTTGTAAGGCAGAGGAAAGGTGATGGGTTTTGCTTTTGAATGCAGGCATTATGGATGGTAGAAAAGATGAAAGGCAAGAGAATTTAGTAGAGCTGAGACTGTCATTAGGGAATTTATAGTGGGGGCTAGAGAGATGGCTGAGGTGAAGGGAACTTCTTGCTCTTGCAGAGAACCAGAGTTCGATTCCCAGTACTAACCTAACAGTTCACAAGCATATATAACTCCATTTCCAGGTTTTCTGACACCCTTTGCTGGGCACCATGAACACTGCATACATGAGGTGAAAATACATGCATTTGGGTAAAACAATTACACGCATAAAATAATAATATCTAAGAATTCTCATAGACACACATTTATAATCCTACAAGAAAAGTTGAGGTAGGAATTTTCCACAAGCTGTCTATGCTACAGACTGAGGCCTTGTCTTTGAGAAGGAAAAGGTGGAGAAGGAGAAAAGAACAAGAATGAATAAACAAAAAATTCCAAGTGGTCATGGTGGCATACACCTTTAATCCTTTTAAAGAAGCAGGTGGATCATGAGTTCAAGGCCAGCTTGAGTCACAGACCAAAATTTACCTCAAAAAAGATCCTAAGAATTACAAGATGGTTGGACTTGTTCTCAAAGGGTCTAACTGAGGGCTTGATCGACCTTGGGCTAGCTGTGGTTTTACAGATCTTGTGTCCTGTGTGAAGGCAGAACCAACCGAGCTGTTCTGGGATAAGATACTGCTACTCGATGCTTCTGTTCCAAAGGATGTCAATGAGCTCCCAGCAACACCAATGGCACCAAACTGCTGCCCAACCAATGTGCTTGGACTGAACTGACTGTATGCTGGCATCCTGCCAAAAGTTCCATAGGAACCCACTGACAACATAAGCATAGGTGTATTCGGAGTAGCAGAAGGCTGTGATCCTTGCTAGAGTTGAACCACAGTGAGCTGAATGGAACTGCTAAGTCTTTTTTTTTTTTTTTTTCATCACTGAAAGGATTTTTCTTGTCACTAATTAATTGTATTTGATGATTACTTCCAGCTGCCTGCAGATAGGCTGTGATACTGTGTTGGAGCCACAGAAAGTGTGTGTGTGTGTGTGTGTGTGTGTGTGTGTGTGTGTGTGTGTGTGTCTTTTTTTCTTAATTAGGGTGCTGGATGGTAGAGAATTTTGTCAGTCAACTATGTACACACAGTCAATACTGTCTCTTAGTCGAGGGTAACTTTTTTATATAGTTGTAAAATTCCATTATATTCCATTGCCAAAGAAACGTTAAGAACTTTGTATAGCTGTATAAAAAGCAATTAATTTTTTAAAGAATAAACATTTAAAATCAGCAAAAAAGAATTACAAGATGGAGAAAAGTGTATATAATTATAGTAATCCAAATTTGTATGTAATTTGGTGTGACATATAATACACATAGAATATTACAAAATTAGAGCCACTTGTGGTTCACACTTATAGTCAGACCACTAACGATACTGAAGGAGAAAGACAGCAATCCATAGCTTGCCTGGGCTAAATGGTGAGTTCCAGACCAGTCTGGAACAGAGAACCCCCTCCTCAGAAAAAGGTTAAAACAAAACAAAACAAAAGAATAAATGAATTAACAACAGCAAATCAACTCTGATGCACTAAAACATGACTATGAGAATGAAAAAGCAGTGTTAGAAGTTCAGAGTTGTGATTCATAGAGAGTAACTCCCATTCCTGACCAACCCAGGGTGTGGACATAAGTGATGTTTGAGAGAAAAAATATATCGGAATGAGAAGTTCAAGGAAATAAGTGATGAGGATGTCAATCATCTACTACAAGGCACTTGTGCTATCTCAAGTAAATGCAAGTTTTAGGGAAGAAAAAGATAAACACAAGTCTATAAATAATTTGGATCATAATTTAGTCTTGGGTCCATAGTGACTACACTGAGGTAGTGAAGAAAGTAGATTTTACAAAAATGTGAACCTCAAAAAATCTAGCAATTTTATAAGGCCAGAAGAGTAGTGGTCCACGATGGCAAAGAGAACAATAACTAAATTCCTGGTTGTGGGGTGGCTGGAGTATGAGAAGCCCTCATTTGAAAGACCATGGTGAATTTTGTGTACTGAGTTAGAGCTATTTCAGTTAGTCAGGAAACCATATAGAACTATATAGGGAAACATAAAGAAAGGGTGTAGAGTAGTTTGCTAATCATGGGTGCCATTTCGGGGTTACCAAATTGTAAAGAAATGAATTAATATTATAGAAATAATTTTGAATGTGTGTAAAACTTAAGTGGAGAGATAATTTTATATTTATTTTTAATTTTATTTTTTGTTTGCAAATTTCACACAGGCATAAAATGTGCTTAATAAAATCCACTCCCCCATTCTCTCCCCTCCAATCCCTCCTCTATACCCCAAACCACTTTTCCCTCCCAACTTCTTGTGCTGGGTTTGTAAACTCAGAGTCCACTTAGTGTTGCTGTATGCTTATGGTTGTGGGCCATCTACTCCTACATGGATAGCCAATTGCATGAAGAAAACTGGCCCCTCCCACAGCCAATCATCCATAGATCCTTAGATAAGAGTGGGACTCCATGAGATCCTCCCTCATCCATGCTAGCATTCTGAGTGATGCACTCTTGTGTAGGTCACATGCATGTAGTCACAGCTGCTGTGCGTTCACATATACAATGACATTGTCATGCCTAACCAATACTGCTTCATGCAGACATCCACAGACAGTGGTTTTTACAGTCTTTCTGTCCCCTCTTCCATGATGTCCCCTGAGCTTCAGGAAACAGAGTGTGGTATAGATATAGAGCTATATTTATTATTGTAGGGTTAATGTTTGTACCACATAGTAAGTACAATGCTGACTTCAGAGTGTGTTAATGTTTTTTTTCAGTAGAATTACTTTATACTTAAGATCATTATGATGTTGTCCTATAGAAACACTTAATCATAGCACAGCTTGTGGCTCTCATCAAATGAGCTGATTTTTACAGTGGGTGGCAGTTAATACAGTGACTCACAACTGTGGAGGCAAAGAATAAGTGATTCTGAAGTGCTCAGTCCTACATGAGACATCGATATCATTCCCTCACCCCAAGGTTCAGCAATAAAGGAAATGGGGAAAGAAAGATCATAAGAACCAAAGTTAAGAGAAAACTGATACAAAACACTGTCTTTTTGACATGAAGAGGCCATTACACTCTTGAATCCATAGCAGCTACTTTACCTGCACAAGGCATAGCCAAGCTCAAGCCAATCATCATCCTATCATGGATAAAGGAAGTGCTCGTGAGGCCCTACCCCTATCTAAGGAGTTATTGGCAATTGATGGCTGCTGGGGAAGGAAGAATCAGTTTTCTTCAAGGGTGTGGCCACTAATTGGTTGGGCATGATCCATTGAATGACACTGTACCCATAAACATATGGCCAGCACTAATTGGGCTCAGCAAGTTGTAGAAAAACAAAAATGGTATATAAAGGTGGGAAGGGTATGTGGTGGAAGAGACTAAAATAGGACATGAAAGTGGGAGGGGTATGTGGAGGGAGGAGACTAAAGGATGTGTATGATCAAAACACACTATATGAGTGTATGGAATTCTCAAGTAATAAATAAAACTATTTTAAAGTCCAATCACAAATTAATAAACATGTTTATATCTTATTTAAACGTACTTTAAGATAGAAAACATTAGTATATCTGTATATGTTTGTTTGTATAAATGTATGTGTGTGTGTGTACATTATGTATGCATATGTCCTGAAATAGCTCAAACTTACACCATTTGAGAAGTACTAACTACTCTTACTCAGTTTGGGTAGCATTGTTCTTTTGCTTCTATCCTAGTGTCATGTTGGCAACCCTGAACTCCTACTGCCCAGAGCAATATCCCAGAAAACAAGGACCACTCTTCACTTGTATCAGATTTGATCCCCATGGCCATGTTAAAGTCATTAGACTTGGTTTTCTACTTGCATATATTTTCATTTGGCAAAGTATTTTCCTCCTCCCTCCCTCCCTCCCTCCTTCCCTTCCTCCTTTTATATGCCCCCCCCATACCTCTTTCTTTTTTCTTTCTTCTTTCTCAGTACTAGGTATTCACTTAGGACCACTTGTGTACTAGGCAAGACTCAGCCCATTGAATTAAAAAGAAGGTTTTTAAGACATGATCTTACTGAATTGTTTAGGCAAGGCTGCATTCTTTATTCTCCTACATCAGCCTCTCAAGAGATAGGACTTTAGGCCTGGAGCACTAGGCCCGTTGACTAGTTATGTTATTATAAAAGTACAGTACAGAGGGGGAAACAATTACTAATAGGTGTTTCTACAATAAAGAAAATTCTACTATTTTGTGGGAGACAGATTCTCATTTTAAAAATAAGAACATCTGAGGGTTTATTTATTTGTCTGTCTGCCATGTTATATAGCATTTGTTGTCTCCATGCTATAGTGGCATGGAGTGGTCAAAGCATGTAACAGAACATATGTGGAGGTCAGAGGACAACTTTCAGAAGTTTGTTTCTTCTTCTATCATAGGTTATGGGGATCAAACTCAGCCTTAGTTCTATTTTGTAATTGTTTATTTTGGTAAAATAAAAGAAATTAAATCAAATAATTTAATTTAATAAATTAAGTAAAAAACAAATGTATTTAGACTTTTTTAGATCACTATAAATACAGAGTGGCTTACTAAAAAAACTATTTCTAGATTAAAAGAAGTCATAAATACTATGAAATCCATTTGAGTGAAGTTGAGAAAACCAGGAATCGATGAGTTGCTGGCTAGAATTAATTGCCCTTCAATGAATTAGAAGAACAATTATAGGGGTCTACTAGCACAGGAAGTGTTAGGCATTGTGGTTCATAATGTCATATACAAAAATAAGGTACATTTTCTTCACTCTACTCAAAAATGGTAAGAAGTAACAAATAAAAGTTCTATTTGTGTTTCCCAAAGACATTATCAGTAGGAGGAGCAGAGAAGGCATGCTAGTACCTTTTTTACCTTCTCTATGACATTTCCCTTCACTTTTCTTTGAACCAAAAAGCTAAGAAAGCCAGACCTAACAACATAAAATTGTATCAATTTATCATCTTGGTTGTCTGAATAGAGAATAGGATTGTGGGGTTTTGGGTCTACAGAAGAAAATCTTGAAAACCTTGAAATGGAGGTTTATGAGAATGTGGAAGCTCAAATGGTTTCATGATGAGTTTTCCCTAGACTTTTATTGACTTTGTTTTCCTAGTTTCTTTTCTTTTACGTCACTGTCATTTGTCCATTTACTGGTGGATTTCCTTTCCCTTTAGCCAACTGTAATATAGAGTTAACATTTTACAGAAATTTTAACAGAAATTTAAATTGTATGCCCCCAATGCTAGTACTAGTTCCTGGCATATAACGGTCCTTAACTAAATGCCAGATACTGAAGAAGAAAATTGATTAATTCTACTTATTTATTTTTATATATGTGTGTATGTGGGTGTGGTGTATGTGCATATGTGCACATGTATGTGTAGGTGCACATATGCAAAACAGAGGAGAGTATCATCATCTTTCACACTCTACCTTATTTCTTTGAGGTTAGGCCTCTTTTGGAACCCAGAACTCATGGGTTTTTTTGGTTGTTTTTTTTTTTTCACAGAGCAAGGTCCAGAAATCCTTGTGTCTCTGTTGCAGGTTTTTTTGGTTGTTGTTTTTTTTTTTTTTCACAGAGCAAGGTCCAGAAATCCTTGTGTCTCTGTTGCTATCAGTGCTGAGGTTACAGGTATGCATTCACCTTGCCCACATTTTAAGTGGGTTTTAAGATCCATACTCTGGTTTTCACACACACATAAAAAGTACATGAGATATAT